CACCCCGCGACAGGTAGATCCAGAGCAGGTTGTGCGTACGGCAAAGCGGGAGTTGATTCGGGATGCGTTGGAGCTGGCGGTGACGTCAGCTGTGAACCACCCGCATATCGTACAGGCAAGTCGTTACCGTGTGTTGTAGGGTGGCTGTTGCTACGGAAGACGGAGCTCCGGGTGGTTAGCAGTTGGAGGTCGGCCGTTCGATCTCAGCGGCGCACATGGCGGTGTGTGTTCACGTTGTTCGTATTATACAACTACCTACACTCAAACAATAGCAAACACACACGCAGACACGCACAGACGCGGACACACACACACACGCACACGCACACACCGCTTTTTTCAGAAAACAATACACACACGCTTTCCGTGTCTGCCCTTCCCGCTTGCCTGCTTGCCTGCCATACCGACTATTATGCCCCTAATCCTGGCGGGGTGCCGGGGTTGTGTGTGTTTTCACGTGCTCGCAGGTCCACAACTACTTTTTCGATGTGCTGGTGGTGGGGTACGCCCAGGACGAGGGCAGTAGTCTGCCGGGGCGGCAGCTGCCCGATGCTGCTGCTGCTGCCGGTGGCGGCGGCGGGGGCGGCGCTGCAAACGGGACGCCGCCCTCAACGCTCAGCACCGGTACGAGTAACTACCTGCGGTTGGTACGACGAGTAGATGCAACGGAGGAGATGGTGGCGGAAGGTAATGCCGGGGAGGGGGGAAAGCCTGGGGAGATGCAATGGGGACAGGGGGCCAACCGATTGTTAGTTGCAGGATGCGAGGAACAGACGACTAACAATTAGTTGGTTGAACTGCCCCCCTTGCTGTGCCTAAGCCCAAGTCAACAAGTCTGGAACCCTCGATCCGAAAGTAATTGTCGGGATAGTTGTAAATGTATGTAAGTGTGTATGTATGTGTGCATGTTTGGCTTAGATTACACTGTGGGCCGCGAGAGCCGGAGGCCGAAGCCGAAACACAGCGCAAGGGTCGGGAGCACACAGCAATGTATGTATGTATGTACACCTCCCCTTTGGTCGACGGCAGCCTCACCTGGTTCCCGTGTGTTTTACCCCTCACATCCCCCCGCTCCTCCCCCACAATTCCCCTCCCCCGTTGATGCGCGCGCGCCCCACCCCCCTCCCGGCCCGCAGGCCCCACCAACCTGGTGATTGTGATGGAGTACTGCGACGCCGGCACACTGAAGGACGTGCTGCGGCGGGGCTACTCAAGAGGGG